TAATTCAGACCATTTACTCAGTACTTTGTTGAAGCACCTTTGGCAGCATGGTGCCAGGTTTCCTCCAGATGTGACGCTTGGCATTCAGGCCAAAGAGTTCAATCAAACCAAGGCCTTTCTCCCTCGATTGCTCAGTTTGGCCCGACGATCAGCTCTAGGAAGAGTCTTGGTGGTTCCAAACTTCTTCCATTTAAGAATGATGGAGGCCACTGTGTTCTTGGGGACCTTCAATGCTGCAGAAATGTTTTGGTACCCTTTTCCAGATCTGTGCCTCGACACAATCCTGTCTCGGCGCTCTACGGACAATTCCTTCGACCTCATGGGTTAGTTTTTGCTCTGACATGCACTGTCAACTGTGGGACCTTATATAGACAGTTGTGTGCCTTTCCAAATCATGTCCAAATCAATTGAATTTACCACAGGTGGACTCCAGTCAAGTTGTACAACCATCTCCAGGATGATCAATGGAAACAGGATGCACCTGAGCTCAATTTCGAGTCTCATAGCAAATGGTCTGAAAAATAAGGTATGTTTTTAATTTTTAATACATTTGCAAACATTTCTAAAAACCTGTTTGCTCGGTCATTATGGAGTATTGTGTGTAGATTGATGAGGATTTGTATTTATTTAATCCATTTTAGAATTACGCTGTAACGTAACAAAATGTGGAAAAAGGGAAGAAGTCTGAATACTTTCTAAATGCACTGTATAGGGCTATATATCAAACTAGAACAGTATTATCTATTTTTTATGCAATTTTAATGAAGTTGATGGAGAGAGAGAGAAAGGCTGCGAGTGTGCTCGCGTGTTCACTGCTGTAAAGCAACGATATTCGAGTGATAGGCTGTTTTAAAACGTGCAGCTGCAATATACAGTGGGGAGAACAAGTATTTGATACACTGCCGATTTTGCAGGTTTTCCTACTTACAAAGCATGTAGAGGTCTGTAATTGTTATCATAGGTACACTTCAACTGTGAGAGACGGAATCTAAAACAAAAATCCAGAAAATCACATTGTATGATTTTTAAGTAATTAATTTGCATTTTATTGTATGACATAAGTATTTGATACATCAGAAAAGCAGAACTTAATATTTGGTACAGAAACCTTTGTTTGCAATTACAGAGATCATACGTTTCCTGTAGGTCTTGACCAGGTTTGCACACACTGCAGCAGGGATTTTGGCCCACTCCTCCATACAGACCTTCTCCAGATCCTTCAGGTTTCGGGGCTGTCGCTGGGCAATACGGACTTTCAGCTCCCTCCAAAGATTTTCTATTGGGTTCAGGTCTGGAGACTGGCTAGGCCACTCCAGGACATTGAGATGCTTCTTACGTAGCCACTCCTTAGTTGCCCTGGCTGTGTGTTTCGGGTCGTTGTCATGCTGGAAGACCCAGCCACGACCCATCTTCAATGCTCTTACTGAGGGAAGGAGGTTGTTGGCCAAGATCTCGCGATACATGGCCCCATCCATCCTCCCCTCAAAACGGTGCAGTCGTCCTGTCCCTTTTGCAGAAAAGCATCCCTCAAGACTGATGTTTCTACCTCCATTCTTCATGGTTGGGATGGTGTTCTTGGGGTTGTACTCATCCTTCTTCTTCCTCCAAACACAGCGAGTGGAGTTTAGACCAAAAAGCTCTATTTTTGTCTCATCAGACCACATGACCTTCTCCCATTCCTCCTCTGGATCATCCAGATGGTCATTGGCAAACTTCAGACGGGCCTGGACATGTGCTGGCTTGAGCAGGGGGACCTTGCGTGCGCTGCAGGATTTTAATCCATGATGGCGTAGTGTGTTACTAATGGTTTTCTTTGAGACTGTGGTCCCAGCTCTCTTCAGGTCATTGACCAGGTCCTGCCGTGTAGTTCTGGGCTGATCCCTCACCTTCCTCATGATCATTGATGCCCCACGAGGTGAGATCTTGCATGGAGCCCCAGACCAAGGGGGATTGACCGTCATCTTGAACTTCTTCCATTTTCTAATAATTGCGCCAACAGTTGTTGCCTTCTCACCAAGCTGCTTGCCTATTGTCCTGTAGCCCATCCCAGCCTTGTGCAGGTCTACAATTTTATCCCTGATGTCCTTACTCAGCTCTCTGGTCTTGGCCATTGTGGAGAGGTTGGAGTCTGTTTGATTGAGTGTGTGGACAGGTGTCTTTTATACAGGTAACGAGTTCAAACAGGTGCAGTTAATACAGGTAATGAGTGGAGAACAGGAGGGCTTCTTAAAGAAAAACTAACAGGTCTGTGAGAGCCGGAATTCTTACTGGTTGGTAGGTGATCAAATACTTATGTCATGCAATAAAATGCAAATTAATTACTTAAAAATCATACAATGTGATTTTCAGGATTTTTGTTTTAGATTCCGTCTCTCACAGTTGAAGTGTACCTATGATAACAATTACAGACCTCTACATGCTTTGTAAGTAGGAAAACCTGCAAAATCGGCAGTGTATCAAATACTTGTTCTCCCCACTGTATATATTTTTAAAATGTACAATCAAAAGATAAGGTGACCCCCGAAAGCCAGATGGAGATGTGTAAATTAGACGCGCATTCGGTCTTTATATTACTGTAGCATTGGCTATGCTGCAGCAAATGCAGGCCTACCTCTACATGCATTGTGAACTGCGCTCCATACTGAGATGGTCTGTCCCTACCCTGAGCGTTAATGATTAATCATGCAGAGGCCGTAGAGAAGCCAGATTTAGACATTGCATATAATTTAAGTTCCATTTCATGCCATGCTGTTCTTATAATTTATTATAATTTACAGGTTTCTCTCATTTTTTTTTTATCCAGGGAAAAGGGAGTGGTTTTGGGCGGTAAATCCCGGTAACCAGGTTCCCGCCATTCAACGATAAAAGGCACTCTATTCCCTATATAGTGCACTACTTCTGACCTGGGTCTATTGGGCTCTGGACAAAAGTAATGCACTGTATAGTGTTATGGAATAGGTTAGACAGCACACTACCACTTCCACTCAATTCCTCCAGTGGGCAGCAACAACCTTGTCCAAGTGCTGAGCCTGATTGATAAGCACATAAGTGCTGCCAATTAAGGTGATGGTCAGTCAGTGTCCCAGCTGGTAAGCTGTGAGGCTGCTGGGTTTGTTTGGTGGCCATGATTTGCATGCCTGTTTGTAGTTTTCCTTTTTGTATATATTTCTTTCTGTCACCATCTGAACATAATAATTAGCTTGGGCTTGCCGACCCAAAGTAATCAAGACAATGCTGGCCCTAAGGTAAGGTTGCCATATCTCTGGGCACATGTGCATCCAAATCAGTCCTCAAACGCTTATTTCTCACAAATGCACACATTAATTTAGGTTAAAAAACAGTTAACTAGGCCCAAGACTTAGCGAGCGCAGCAATATTACATTTTAGTCATTTAGTAGACGCTCTTATCCAGAGCGACTTACAGTTAGTGAGTGCATACATTTTTCATACTGGCCCCCCGTGGGAATCGAACCCACAACCCTGGCATTGCAAGCGCCATGCTCTACCAACTGAGCTACAGGAGTCCTATTAGTATGCTAGTTAATCGATTTTGTAACAATAGGCAATAGGATGCGATTTGGGATGCAGCCCTGGTCTCCCATCAGACCAGACTGATTTAGGAGCCCTCCACCCCACTCCTGTTCCCCATCGCTACCCTGAACCCATGACTACATTTCTAATGAACCTATTTTAGGATAGAATGAATGTGTCATGAACTGGAACATAGAGCATGGATTTGTGGGGGGGGAGAGAGGGGGATGGAAAGGAGTTAGAGGGTGACTGAATGACTGACATAGCAAAATATAGATGAGCGTGTGAGTGTGAAAGTGAGAGTGTAAAGTTTCGATAGAATAAAGGGAAAAAAACGAACAAGTGCAGTTGATCTGTTAAGGGAACTCTCAAGCAGTATTTTTTCAATGATAATGTTGCCCTCCAGTGGCTATATCCAGTAATACAAAGACTGTACCAAGGTATAGACGTCACCAAATCAGTGTGCATTTACAAAAGGTTATGGTATAATACAAAAATACAAAGACATTTTCAGGTTTTCATTGACTTTTTATTTTTATATATATTTTTCATATAAAATGACAAGGTCCAAGTTGTTTGGAAACCAAGCCGTGACCCCTTTATTCCCCACCTGCTATTCTAAGCAACCGGGAAGAAAAATATGAACAATCAATAATACACACCCCATATACAGAAATGCATAGTGATCTAGCAAACACCTCTAGTAACTGCCTCCTCCAATGAGATTCATTTCATCAACTGGAGTGCGTTCAATTCAATGCAACGATTGCTACGTTGCGTGGCGGTTTGTAGTGAACGACACGCTTCCCCAAAACAGTGTGTACTGTTCTTCAACAGCCTTTGAGGTACGTTTGCTCCTGTTTGGTGGATGTGGCGAGGTTGATCAATATGGATGTGACCATTTAAAATCTTAAAACTCGTGCAGCACACACCATACACAATCTCCGTCTGGGCCACCATAATCACACTGTTCTTCCACTGGTCGTTCAGTACAGTGCAGTTTCCGTTGAGTTAAACACAATTGTAAACGCTCCCCTGGTTTGCACCAATGAGGTTCGATTCATTAGGTTCCCACCAATGAGGTTTGTTCATTACAGCTTTCCACCAATCAACAGTCTCAGCATAAGTGCAGGCACCACTGACACATCGGGGCTGCCCTCCACGTGTATTACCCTTTGTCACCATAAGGGTGTGTCAGAGCATGACCAAGCTCCACTAATGCAGTATTCTCCTTCACCCACTGCCTCTGATCTAAAGTCAGTTTTGTTCTCTAGCCTGTCCAAACATGAGGCCAGAGTGAACACAGGGCAAGGCACCCCGTCTCAGTGTATGATGCTGGGCCAGTGAACCTCCAGAGTGGTGGACCTGCTTAGCGAGTAAGAGTATGTGCGTGAGAGATAGAGCCTGTACGCAGTATGCGTGAGCGTGTGTCTTTGTGTATGTCTTTACCACTGCTCACTCCGTAGGAGCTACAAACAGGAGTCCCAGTGCAGAGTGAGGTCCGAGCTGTCCAGAAAGTCTGCTGAGAACACACTGGGGGGCGTGTGGGGGCCCAGAGGGGCGAGACTCATCCCCCCTCCACCTCCCATGGAGATGTCCAGCCAGTCCATGCTGTCCAGGGCTGGGTCCTCAAAGTCAAGCCCTGCTGGGTGGGGGGAGAAGCCCAGGTCGCTGGTGTCCATGTCCATCGGGGAGGGGGGATGGTCCAGGATGCTGGAGGTGCTCAGCATTTGGCTGTGGAGGTCGTCAATTAAAGTCAGGCCACCGTCAGGCTCCACCCCCAAGAGGGGTGTGCCTGTGGTGCTCTCCAGGAAATCCTCCAGACGACCACTTCCTATGCAGGGCGATGGCGAGGGCTGCTGGGAGGGCAGGGAGTGCTCCGGAGGGGGGGTGGGGGGCGACAGGTGGAGAGGGGACAAGGGAGGGGTGGGGGGGTTGGAGTGGAGGTGGGACAGGGAAGGGTCTGGGTTTGCTCGTAATCCAGAGATTTCTGGATGGGGAAGAGAAAGAAAAAGCATGAATATTAACAATGCTCAAACAAATGGGTTTACGCTCATGTATTGGTAGTAAGACATTATGAAGATATTTATGTGTGAGTGTTATGTTGTGTGTGTACTGCTCTGTTCTCTTACCTCCACTCTTCAAGAGGATGTCAAACAGGTCGTCCATCTGTTGACTGCTCAGGCCGTTCTCCTTGGGGCAGAGAAGACATTTAGTACAGTTTACAGTACTCATGGCTGCTTAACAAAACCGGCAAACATGTTCAGTACTATAAAATCACTACGATACTTTGAGCAAATTTCAGATGAGACAGATGCTAACAGATGGACTGGGAGAAAATGCGAGAAAAGAAAAGATGGAACAGAAAAATTATGGACAGAAGAGAGAGAAGAAAAGAGAAAAGACATGGATGGACATGCAGAGGGACATGGCAGGAGTGAAGGGCATACTCTGAGGCGTTGAGTGGAGGAGAAACAGGTCTGTTTAGGAGAGCGAGGGGTGAACAAAGTGTGCCGGTCAAAAGTCGGACACACTTCTTTCTGAAAGGATGGAAGGAGAGAATAAAGAAAGGATGAAGGGAAAGAAATAGGCTACAAAGAAAGAATGAATGAAAGTAAAAAATGTAGACGCAGATTATTGAAAAGCCAAATATGAGATGATGTTGACATCCAATGAATGATCATTGCAGAATTGGTCTTACCTTGAGGAAGGGGGGAGCGGTGCTTTGGCTTTCAGACGAGTTGGACGCCTCGTCAAAGAAAGGATGGAGATTGGGCGGAGCAGAGACGGACTGACTCGGCTCTGGCACTCCATTGGTCATGCCATTGGTCTCCAGATGTAGACCCGCCTTCTGTTCCTGAACGAGACGGGGGAGAGGAAGAGGAAAAAGGACAGTAATGATTTTAAGAGTATTGCCAGACAGTGACAGCTAAAATTGTGTGTGTGTGTGTGTGTGTGTGTGAGAGCAGACCTTGTTTTTGTCTTGATTTGTAGTAATTCTCATACCTTTTTGATAGGCTGGTTGACAGGGCCTGGTTGTAACTGTTGTTTTGATTGGGTGTCGGGGCTGAATATCTCAGCTGGCGATTGGCTGGGGAGTTTGCTTGGAGTTGACTGCAATCGCTAGAGGAAGAAATGGGAGATTGAATTCACCATTAACCATTGATGGGATTCAATTAAGCTGGCCCGGGTGCACAGAGTTTGCACCGGGTGAAAAGTGAATGCATTTGTTTTGGATCGGGTTGCATCCCTTGCGTGAGCTGGGTGCCCCGCTCTGGCCGACGTTGAAATCGGCTCAAAACAAAAGTGACATAGGTTAAGCATGTGGAGTAATGAAAATTCTAACATATATTTTATGGAAAAGGGATGTTGTATGTTTTTGAACAATGCAGTCATATTGTCTGTCTTGTTGACAATATGACTGGGCGAGTCAAAATCACTTTGAGTCAAAATGCAAGCAGAGATCTACTGCTCAGATAAAATAACAAAAAAACAAACAAACAAAAAAACAGTTCTGTAACAATGAGGTTTGTGCAGTAGGCTATAGGCCCAATACATTATCACTGCATATTGGCTACACTTGCCCTGCCAATGTTGTTCTTCTCAGACCATATAGAAAATATACAAAAAAAAAAAAAAGGTATATGATCACACTGGTAATACAGTTGTGGACAAAAATATTGGCACAATTTCTTCCAGAAAACAGTAGAAATTAAAAAATATTTAGGAATCCACATATGTATGTCTTTTGGTTTGCAGTTGAACAAAACAAACAAATCAGAATAATTTACTAAGAAATCCTAAAATGGCCTGGATAATATTATTGGCACCTTCTAGAAGTCGTTAGAAATAATTTGATTTCAAGCAGGTGATTCTCCTTTACTTTGGACTTGAACTCACCTCTGGTGAGTTGCAGGTGCCTGCAATATAAAATCCCTAATTCAACCAGTTTGAATAGAGAAAAGGACTCATTCTCCTGTTTTGTGTCACTGTGTGTACCGCAATGAGCATGCAGAAAATAAAGAAAACCAGAGAATTATCTATGGAGGTCAGACACAAGATTGTAGCCAAGCATGGACAATCTCAAGGCTACAAGTCTATCACCAGAGACCTTGATGTTCCTGTTTCCACCGTACGTCATGTTATCAAGAAGAAGGCCCATGCCACTGTAGCCAACCTCCCTGGATATGGCCGCAAGAGAAAACTTCATGGAAAATTGCAGCGAAGGATTGTTCGAATTGTGGAGAAAGCACCTCGATCAACTGCCACACAGATTCAAGCTGACCTTCAGACACAAGGTACGACAGTTTCAACTCGCACCATCCGTTGCAAACTCAATGAAAGGGGGTTATATGGTAGGAGACCCAGCAGGACCCCACTGCTGAGAGAGAGACATAAGAAAGCGTGACTGCAATTTGTCAAAACACATCTGAACATGCCAAAATGCTTCTGGGAGAATGTATTGTGGACCGATGACACCAAATTAGAGCTTTTTGGTAAAGCACACCATCTCTATGTTTACAGAAAACAAAATTAAGCCTTCAAAGAAAATAACACCTTCCCTACAGTCAAACATGGAGGAGGTTCAGTGATGTTTTGGAGTTCCCAGCCTCTGGCACTGGGTGCCTTGAATGTGTGCATGGCATCACAAAATCAGGAGAATACCAAGGCATTTTGGAGCGCAATGTCGGACCCAGTGTCAGAATGCTGGGTCTCCGTCAAAGGTCATGGGTCTTCCAGCAGGACAATGACCCCAACACACTTCAAAAAGCACCCAGGAATGGTTCAAGACAAAATGCTGGACTGTTCCGAGTCCAGATCTAAATGCCATTGAACATTTGTGGAGAGATCTGAAAAAAGCAGTAGGGAGAAAGCAACCTTCAAAACTGGGAGAACTGGAACAGTTTGCACAAGAGGAGAGGGCCAAACTGCCAATACAGAGGTGCAGGAAGCTCTTTGATGGCTATAGGAAGCACTTGATTGCAGTTATTTTGACCAAAGGCTGTGGTACCAAATATTAAGTCTAGTGTGTCAATAATTTTGGCAATACCATTTGTTTATTTTCTGATTTAAATGTATATATTAAGTTCTGAATCAAAAACAAAGGTTCTGTAATATTAACAGTGAAATAAAGAATTGTGGAGACCAAATACCTTGGTCAATTTCAACTTATTTGGGGGGGAAATTGTGAGTTACTTGAAGAAAGTGCAAGGGTGCCAATATTTTTGTATATTATTTACATTTTAGTCGTTTAGCAGACACTCTTATCCAGAGCGACTTACAGTTAGTGAGTGCATACATTTTCATACTGCCCCCCCGTGGGAAACGAACCCACAACCCTGGCGTTGCAAGCGCCATGCTCTACCAACTGAGCTGTTGGCCTGCATCTGATGGTCAGTCTGAGGGGAGGGAGGGAGCAGTGGTGAGGCTGCCTCTCTCCCTCCCTCCGCTGAGAAAAGGGGACACGGTCTTCCAGCTGATGGCGAAACTTAAGTTGCACTGCATTACTTCTGCCTCACGCACCAATTCATGACGTTACTCCTATGACCAGAGAAAGTGAAATGTACCTCTATATATAAAAAAAAGCCGCAATTAATAACAACGCAAGCTTATCTAAACGCGCACATTTTATGGCTTACAAAACTGTTGAACAAAGTGTTTACAGTGATGAATAACAACTTAAACATGAACTTACTCAACAAATACAGCAAAGAGCTGCTGTTTTTATGAGTCTCTCTCTAGTCATTGTTTTAAAAGTTTTGAAATCTCACATTATCAACTTTGCTCTGCGTACACGGCTTCTTTTTCCAGTTTACATTGGCTTCGGAAAGTATTCAGACCCTTAGACTTTTTCCACATTTTGTTACGTTACAGCCTTATTCTAAAATTTATTAAATCGTTTTGTTCCCTCATCAATCTACACACAACACCCTATAATGACAAAGCAAAAACAGGTTTTTAGAAATTCTTGCTAATTAATAATAAATAAATAAAAAGTATTTTAGACCCTTTACTCACTACTTTGTTGAAGCACCTTTGGCATCGACTACAGCCTCGAGTCTTCTTGGGTATGACGCTACAAGCTTGGCACACCTCTATTTGGGGAGTTTGTCCCATTCTTCTCTGCAGATCCTCTCAAGCTCTGTCAGGTTGGATGGGGAGCATTGCTGCGCAGCTATTTTCAGGTCTCTCCAGAGATGTTCGATCGGGTTCAAGCCTGGGCTCTGGCTGGACATCTCAAGGACATTCAGAGACTTGTCCGGAAGCCACTCCTGCGTTGTCTTGGCTGTGTGCTTAGGGTCGTTGTCCTGTTGGAAGGTGAACCTTTGCCCCAGTCTGAGGTCCTGAGCTCTCTGGAGCAGGTTTTCATCAAGGATCTCTCTGTACTTTGCTCCGTTCATCTTTGCCTCAATCCTGACTAGTCTCCCAGTCCCTGCCGCTGAAAAACCTCCCCACAGCATGATGCTGCCACCACCATGCTTTACCGTAGGGATGGTGCCAGGTTTCCTCCAGAAGTGACGCTTGGCATTCAGGCCAAAGAGTTCAATCTTGATTTCATCAGACCAGAGAATCTTGTTTCTCATGGTCTGAGAGTCCTTTAGGTGCTTTTTGGCAAACTCCGAGCGGGCTGTCATGTGCCTTTTACTGAGGAGTGGCTTCCGTTTGGCCACTCTACCATAAAGGCCTGACTGGTGGAGTGCTGCAGAGATGGTTGTCCTTCTGGAAAGTTCTCCCATCTCCACAGAGGAGCTCTAGAGCTCTGTCAGCGTGACCATCGGGTTCTTGGTCACCTCCCTGACCAAGGCCCTTCTCCCCCGATTGTTAAGTTTGTCCAGGCAGCCAGCTCTAGGAACAGTCTTGGTGGTTCCAAACTTCTTCCATTTGGAGGCCACTGTGTTCTTGGGGACCTTCAATACTGCATAAATGTTTTGATACCTTTCACCAGATCTGTGCCTCGACACAATCCTGTCTCGGAGCTCTACGGACAAATCCCTCGACCTCATGGCTTGGTTTTTGCTGTGACATGCACTGTCAACTGTGGGACCTTTTATAGACAGTTGTGTGCCTTTCCAAATCACATCCAACCAATTGAATTTACCACAGGTGGACTCCAATCAAGTAGAAACATCTCAAGGATGATCAATGGAAACAGGATGCACCTGAGCACAATTTTGAGTCTCATAGCAAAGGGTCTGAATACTTACGTAAATAACGTATTTCTGTTTTCAAATTGTAATATATTTGGTAAAATTTCTAAAAACCTGTTTTCACTTTGTCATTATGGGGTATTGTGTGTAGATTGCTGAGGATTTAAAAAAAATGTAATCCATTTTAGAATAAGGCTCTAACGTAACAAAATTTGAAAAAAGTCAAGGGGTCTGAATACTTTCCGAAGGCACTATATGTCGTGAGGAAACTGCAGACACTGATCTGAGCTATCTGATTTGACAGCACTAGGCCTATATGTGCACTTGATTTGCTCTCTGGGCCTGCAGGGTAGGCTGAGTTCTACCTTCAGACATATGAAATGGTTCAAAATTGGAACACTTTGCCTTCCCGGCGCTAGGGCTGTTGAATCAAGTGCACCTGCCTTCAACAGCGCAAAACACATTTTAAAAAAAGAGTAACGCAAGGCTTTATCTTTGTTTTTTTTACAGAAATGTTTGGTGATCGACTAGGAATGTCTAAGAGATCGACCAGTCGATCGGTTGGTGACCACTGTACTAAGCTATATGGAATTGTTTTAAGGTCATACCAAGGATCATTTAGCTATTTGATTTACTGCTATTAGCCCATTCAAACACATTGAATAACAGATTCACTACATGGAACAGGAAGTTTGTTCTGAAGCGTCTGTCCTATATCCGAGAGATACACTATACATACAAAAGTATGTGGACACCCCTTCAAATTAGCGGATTTGGCTATTTTAGCCACACTTGGTTGCTGACAGGTGTATAAAATCGATGCGAAAGTGCGATTGGCGGATGCAGGGGATTGAGACACATCCGATGCAAAAAAAACATGTCTCTAGCTTAAACTAACAGATTTTTATGGGGATATTTTTATTATGCTAATTCGATTTCCAAGGGGACGCGGAAATCCACTCGAGGAGGTTAAAATGACAAAACAGCTCAGAGCAAATTTACTGCACTGTCCTACCATCTTACACAATAATTTCACCTCTTAACATAGAGACCTGTAACACTTATTAGCAGATTTCCAGCGTAACTGCACCTGCAGTGTGATGCGTTGTGATACACTGGTTTTGCCCAATGAGGTCACGCCATTCTGGCCCTCTGCATTGTGATTGGTCAGTGCTATCAGGTAGTGGTTGCCGTTGCCGTCGGTGACAAGTGTGGGCGTGGTGCCCGACTTGAGGAGGTCCAATGAAAAGGTCTGGGCGGGGACCTGGGTGCCATTCTGTTGGCCGATGAAGACTGGAGTAACCTGGAGAGAACAGGAGTAGAGCAGAGACATATTCAAACCAACAGCCCAACAGAGAAGGGGAAGAGACAGACTTGGTTCCAAACACGGGTCTCCCGCGTGCCAGACAGTTTGCCCGCTGAGGTAAAGAATCTGTCTTCAGGTTTCAGACAAGTTTATTCCGTTAAATTTGTAAGTATGGTTTCAGACAAGGTTATTCCGTTAAATATGTATGTATGGTTTCAGACAAGGTTATTCCATATGAAATATGCACCTGATGTGCGGTGACTGTCTGTGGTGTGTATACCTATTCTGTTGATCTATAGACTGTACGATATAGAGCTGTAATGACAATGTACCTGTTGTGTGGTGACAGTCTGACTCAGTTGTTTGTTCTGCTGCTGTCTCTGGGCCTGTCTCTGCTGCTTCCTCTGCTGGGCCTGCAGCTGTTTGTGTTGCAGCTGGAGCTGTTTCTGCTGGGTCTGCTGGATGATCATCTGCTGCAACTGCTGCTGTTGCTGGATTAACAACTGGGCTGATGTCTTCTGCTGCTGCATCTGCTGTGTCTGTTGTTGCTGTTTTTGTTGCTGGAGCTGTTGGGACTGCTGTTGTGTCGGTTGTTGTTGTTGTTGTTGTTGTTGTTGTTGTGTCTGTAGTGGTTGCTGCTGTTTTTGTTGCTGGAGCAGTTGGGACTGCTGTTGTTGTTTCTGCTGTTGTTGTTGTGTCTGAAATAGTTGTTGTGTCTGTTGTTGAACCTGTATCCGGTGGATCTGCTGCAGTTTGAGAAGAGTCTGCTGAGAGCACTGTGTCGGCTGAGGCTGTCCCTTAGGCTGAGTTTCGTCCACTCCTTCCATCTCTTCTTGCGTCTCTACCTCCTTCTTGACCCTCACCATCTCTCCATTGGTGAGAGAGGGATGGAGGATGGTTGAGGCTTTGATGGGGGTGGTTTTGGTTTGGGCCTCCTGGGCATAACCATTCACCACCACACCCTGTACTCCCTCTATCTCTCCTCTCTCCATCTCTCTCAATCCTGTCTGTTTCCCCTGCTCCAGTTGGGAGCGCAGGGTCTCCACCAGCCTCTGTTTCTGCCTCAGCATGCGTGTCAGCTCCTCGATCTGCTTGTCCTTCTCCTGGAGCAACTGGTTCTTGTCCAAGGGGGAGGCCTCCATGGCTGCCACAGCCAGGGGCTCCTGAGGTGGGGTGGCAGGCTGAGGCGCGGTGGGCGAAAGCCGGGACTGGGAGAGGCTGCAGGTGGGTAAGTGATCCTGGTTCTCCTCTTTGATGGAGGCTGGGGAGTGGTGCAGGCTGAGCTGGGTCAGGGGAGAACTCACCATCTCCCCGAATAAGTCTCCATTACAGCTGGTCTCGTCGGGGCTCATTACCGCCAGTGACCGTTCTGACGGGGTGGGAGACACAGGAGGGGAGGAGTTCGTACTGCCAAACCTCATAACATGGGCCGGAGCAGCACTCTGAGCCAATGAGAATGTGGGTATCTTCCCGCCTGCCTCTCCTGATTGGTGGGTGAGGGTATTGGTCCCGGTCTGGGGGGGGGCAGGGATGGTGAACCCAGCAGGTTGGGTTGAGGCATGCTGTGGGGTTGGTAGGCTGGGTTTAGAGGTTACAGTCGCAATAACACCAGCTCCACCTCCAACATTCTGTTCCTGGTAGTTCCTCAGCCTCTCGATCAGGTCCATCTTGGTTCCAGACACAGTCAGACCCCGCAGTTTCAGCTCCTGTTTCAGCTCAGCAACCTGGAGGGGAGAAGAAGAGGTAAAAACATAGTTATGATTCTGATCCTTACTCCCTTATGTACACTATACTATATATACAAAGGTATGTGGACACCCATTCAAATTAGTGGATTCGGCTATTTCAGCAACACCCGTTACTGACAGTTGTATAAAATCGAGCACACAGCCATGCAATCTCCATAGACAAACATTGGCAGTAGAATGGCCTTACTGAAGAGCTCAGTGACTTTCAACGTGGCACCGTCATAGGATGCCACCTTTCCAACAAGTCAGTTCGTCAGATTTCTGCCCTGCTAGAGCTGCCCCGGTCAACTGTAAGTGCTGTTATTGTGAAGTGGAAACATCTAGGAGCAACAATGGCTCAGCCGCGAAGTGGTAAGCCACACAAGCTCACAGAACGGGACCACCGAGTGCTGTCCTTGGTTGCAACACTCACTACCGAGTTCCAAACTGCCTTTGGAAGCAACGTCAGCACAAGAACTGTTGGTCGGGAGCTTCATGAAATGGGTTTCCATGGCCGAGCAGCCGCACACAAGCCTAAGATCACCATGTGCAATGCCAAGCGTCCATTGGAGTGGTGTAAAGCTCGCCACCATTGGACTCTGGAGCAGTGGAAACGCGTTCTCTGGAGTGAGGAATCACACTTCACCATCTGGCATCTACTCACTTTGAAGTCATCCAGGTTGGCTGGTAACGTCAAAGGTTTGGCCCCTCCCACAAGGGTTTGACTGACGACTTGGCCCATGCTGACGAATCTGAGTTTGGTGGATGCCAGGAGAACGCTACCTGCCCCAATGCATTATGCCAACTGTACAGTTTGGTGGAGGAGGAATAATGGTCTAGGGCTATTTTTCATGGTTTGGGCTAGGCCCCTTAGTTCCAGTGAAGGGAAATCTTAACGCTACAGCATACAATGACATTCTAACGAATCTGTACTTCCAACTTTGTGGCAACAGTTTGGGGAAGGCCCTTTCCTGTTTCATCATGACAATGCCCCCGTGCACAAAGCGAGGTCCATACAGAAATGGTTTGTCGAGATTGGTGTGGAAGAACTTGACTGGCTTGCACAGCGTCCTGACCTCAACCCCATCGAACACCTTTGGGATGAATTGGAATGCCGACTGCGAGCCAGGCCTAATAGCCTAACATCAGTGCCCGACCTCACTAATGCTCATGGCTGAATGGAAGCAAGTCCCCGCAGCAATGTTCCAACATCTAGTTGAAAGCCTTCCCAGAAGAGTGGATGCTGTTATAGCAGCAAAGGGGGGACCAACTCCATATTAATGCCCATGATTTTGGAATGAGATGTTGGACGAGCAGGTGGCCACATACACTACATGACCAAAAGTATGTTTATCTGTCTATGGGTGCATATCAATAGTCTAACGGGACTCTCTTCTAATCTCCTTTCCTTTATCAGCACTGATCTGAAAGAAATGGACAGGTGAAAGTATCCACCATGTTGATTTCACCCAACTTGCGTTTCAGATGAGTGCAGATTTTTTAAAAAGGGACTCTTACAACGCCTGGATAGGTATTTTTGTATCAGCTAACCTCAGTCGATGACGTGGCATTGGTTGATGCATGCAACGTCTGAGCAAGGGAACGCGACCTAAGTGTATTTCTATAAACATCTACTCACTTTGAAGTCATCCAGGTTGGCTGGTAGCGTCAAAGGTTTGGCCCCTCCCACAGGGGTTTGGCTCTGACGATTTGGCCCATGCTGATTGGAAGGGGCCGGGGTCGTCAGGGGAACACTGCGCGAAGGGGAGGGCCCGGGGTTGGTTGAAGGTGGCTGCTCTGCAGGTGGTCTGAGGAGAGACAAGAAACAACAGAGATGAGTCAGTCGACACGCACACAACCACACACAGGGTGGCGCAGTCGCTCTTACACACAAAACCACATGCCATTAGACGGCATGGAGTGAATTATGTGATGCCTCTTATTTTCAAACACACACCGCCAATTCCAATCCCCACACACATCTCTTTCCCTCACACACTCACTTGGGTGGTGCAGGAAGGATGGTGTGGTAGTTGTAGTGCTGCTGTTGTTGGTTGAGGATCTGCAGCTGGAGGAAGAGTTGCTGCTGGTGAAGGATCTTGGCGTAGGTGGAGTCCAGCTGAGGGGGAGGCTCCCGGTCAGCCTTCTGGTCCGGAGGGATGTACTGGTGGTACTTCAGCTTCTTCACCTTGGGCTTCATGTCTTTGGCCTTCTTAGGCCTCTGGGGGAGGCGCTCCAAGCTGGGCTTGGACTGGAAAATATGGGAGAGAGAGGGAGGGATCGATAGAGTGAGCGAGCGAGATCGACAGAGGGAGGGAGGGAGAGAAAGAGTAAGTAAGATATGATTGCTTGTATATAGAAAGTATTATATTCCAACCTTCATAGCAAGATATCCTAACGACAGGGGATGTCTCTCACCTTGATTTGACCACTGGCAGGGCGGGAAGCAACTGGCGTCGCTGTCCCATTGGTCAGCTTCTGTGCTTGCAAGGAGTCATGGCCATTCAGCAACAGTGGAGGAGGGGGAGGAGGGACCTGGGTAAAGAACTAAGAAAACATCTGATTGGTCAGTTGAAGCATCAATAATAGGACAACTCATGTGATTACTTGTCTATGTAAGCATGCATGAATACCAGTGGCTACATGGATATCTCCATTCTGTGGCTATAAGTACCGTACAAAAATAAAAAACATTTTTAGAATGGTCTGTACCTGTGAGGGGGACATGTCCCCATTCTGAGTGAGCATGTCAGAGGGGGACAGCTGGGAGACAGGACCCAGTGGAGAGTCGTGATTGGCTAGAGTGTCCGGAGAAAACGCATCACTACTGTCCTCGTCCAATGAGGATTCTCCTGCACCCTTTGGAGAATCTGTGCGTGGTAGAGAGATACATTTACTTCTCACCAAACAAATTATCTTCTACAATAACAAGTTGATAAGTTGTGAGGTTCAGTATCACTACAACATCTATTTCAAACTAAGAGATTAGTATTTGGCAATAGAAAAAGAGGCGATTGCCAAACCAGAATGACTAATGATGGAATTGGTCACACACAGTCTCTCCAGTCTCCACCATGAGGATTTAGCAATAACAGTTTCACGACACCAGTTCAGTATTGTGACATCGCAATGATAACATTTTGAGGAACATTTGAACGCGAACCATGACCAGTGATTAATTGAAGAATTGAAAAAAAAGAGTTTCTCATACACAGTGAGAGAGCGTGTATGAAGCTAGTAGGAGAGTCTGGGAGTATTTGGGTACATGTGTTAGTGAGGGACTAATTTATCTAGCCAGTAGAGGTGTTGCAGTGGGCTGTGCACAGGCAGGACGCTCCTAGCCAGTAGAACATGTTCCTACCCAGTTGCAGGATGCTCCTACCCAGTTGACCAAGGTGTTGTTGTGCACATTCACAATAGGAAAGTTCCAGTATGTACCCAGTAGAGTGTGTGGCAATGAGCAGTAGGACTTGCCTAGACCTGCCTAGTAATGTATGTTACAGTGGATAATAAGAATGGGTAAATACCTAGAACAGAAGTGAGTGTTTCAGTGTGTGTACGCTTCATTTTTTAAAAACCTTTATTTTAGCAGGAAGTCCCATTGAGACCACTGCCACTTTTTCAAGGGAGCCTTCTTTTTCACAACCCAGTAGTGTGTGTTGCAAAGGCAAGTGTGTGTGTGTGTGTGAATATATTGCGGTAGACAGTGTGTGTCCATACCCAGTAGTGAGTGTTGCAGAGGACAGTCCAGGTCTACAGGCAGGATGTTCTTGTGGAGGAGCTCTATAGGACCAGGTCTGTGGGAGATCTTATCATTGAGGTCATCAGCCAGCCTGGCCCTCTTCAGCTGCAGCTGCTTGGCCTGCAGAGACGGCTCTGCTGACGTCTCTGTGTGAAGAGAGAAGGGGAAAAACACACAGTTTCACAAGGATGTACAGACACCACTCACACAAGACTCACTATTAGGTACACAAAGTCCTCAAAGACCATTAAAGAAGTGCATAACTAAACATACTTATGTATATAGATCTGCACAAACAGACGTGGTATACTTGGCTCACTGCCTCTAGAGAAGTAGCATGTGTGAGGGTGTAGTTCTGTGGTGATCAGAGAGGGGGCGCTCTGACTCACCCTCCAGTATGTGCATCCTGACCAGCTCTGAGCGCTCAGGACGACTCCTGATCTTCCTCTTCAGATAGTCCTCAGTCTGGAAGGGAGGAGAGGAGAGATGGAAGAGAAGAGACAAGTTGTATGGGAGAGGGGAAGGGTAGAAAAGATGAACAGAAAAAGGAACAGGAGATGGAGATGGAGAAAGAAGCGAGAGAGAGAGCGATGAGTGTTGTCTCAGAGAGAGAATGCAGTTCAACAAAGACTGCACATCTTGAACTACAGAGAGAAAGACAGACATGGAGAGACTCACCCTGGCTCTCTCCAGACTCCTCCGCTGCTCGTGGAAGGCTGCCGGACTCTTCAGTGCTGTGGACAGCGAGGGAAAGAGGGAGAAACGAAGAAAGAAGTGAGAATGACTGTGAATGCGAACTCCAACAAAGGAGTACAGACTATGCTGTGAGCTCTTCACCACCACTGGAGACTGACAGTGTGAGAACACACGCTCAAACCAGAACTCTATATGTGAAAAGGTCAAAGGAGCTATATCCACCAAACAGTAAGAAGAGAAAATAGAACATTGTGTTTTTGTATTGACTGGTGCATGACCTGTTTCAGCAGAACAGTGAAAGAGGAACAGCCTGCTATAGCATGAGAGAGGTGTACGCCTGAGAACCCATAGAACAATCAATAAAGATCTGATTTACAGACCAGACAGGATCTTTGAAGAACGAATTTCTGAGAGACGGACTTTCTAAATCCATCACTCTACTCAACTTTATTGGTCCTCAGCATGTCCCTGTCCGTATGTGTATATTTAGTCTGTGTGTGTGTGTTTGCGCCTGTGTGAGTGTCTGGAGGATGTGTGTGTGTGTGTGTGTGTGTGTGTGCGCGTGTGTCACTAAGCATCTCTGCATCTCACCCCAGCAGCCCCCATCATTCAGAAGTGGGAAAACACAAACGTGGACATTCATGTAAGCTCACAAACATACACACCAAAACAAGACTAGCAGGCCTAAATATTGGCCAGGGATTCCTGTGATGTAACCACTCACATCAAGTCAACATTTGTCTCCAAATACATGCAAATGGATCATGGAGGATCCTGTCTACTATGTAATTCACTCTTATTTATATATCCAACAGTAATGTGACTGTAAATCCATGGCATGAGCACTACTGTCTACTAACTCTACAGGACCTTGACAGTAAAACAGTTTTCTGCTACAGCCTTGGGCCATAGTCATAACAAGACACTTTTAAAGGTTGGGTTGTAATACCTCCTCCACAGGAAGACAACCTGATCCTCAGTAATCTGGACTAATCTGTAATAAAGTCCTGTATGTATGTTTGTCTGTGTAGGGCTACAGTGGAGAAACACAGTTAGTTCCCCTGGCCTGTTGTTGTTGTGTAGTAAGAGTGGGAGCACAGGGGAGAGGCCCATCTTAGGGCCAGGTTAGCCACTTTACACCTGAGTTGTGACCCATCATAACTAGCCTCATACAACCATCCGGAGTTCTCGCAAGCTTACATTCTGTTGAAGTGAAGCGAAACAAGAGTGAAGCGGTCAGGATGGTCTTGGATCAGGCTACGTCATAACAGAAGCAATTCCTGAATTGAAATTCGAACAGACCCCAACCCTGGTGCAGATTGAGTGCATTTGTCAAGGAGAGTCAGTGACAGTGATAACACCCTCTGAAGGGTGCAGGTTAGGCTGCAAGTTAGGAAGTGAGTCAGCTTCTCTCTCTCCTGTAAGAATGAGAGCTAGCCCATGCACTTCCTCCTTCCCACAGCTGAACACTGAGTCTATTCAGCTACTTAACAGAACACAAACAGGAAGTGGACACAGAAGAGGAAGCTGGCTGGCCCACTTCATAACACAACAACGCAAACACAAGACAACACAATGCAAATTACAACGCTAACACAACACAACAGGCCTGTCAGTCCAAGGGGACCGGGAACAAAAACTGTGCTGGTCAAGCATGCAGAGGGTGATATTATATTATATTTTCTGGTCTAGACTACAGAGATATGGATAAAGAGTTTGGGCACTACTTACGTGGCATGATCCCTTGGCTGACCAGTTCCTCCCGGGTGCGTCTCTGCTGAAGTTTGAGCTGGAGGACTGCATGAGGACAGTGAGAGAGAAGTAGAGGAGAGTAAGCAACTGTCAGCATGGAAACAACAACAACCTCTTCAAAAAAAAGAGTTTCAGGTCCAGGCTGCCATCCTACACTGAAGAATCCGTCTGCAAGGTAGAGAGGGTATCCTTATGTCAACAAACACAGGAGCAGAGGGATAGAGCAGGACTCAATGGACAGGACCCGTGCTCTCTTTCACTTCCTCCCTCGCTCTTTTTTTTTTTTTTTGCTGTTGCAAAGGAGGGCGGAGTACAGTGACATTATTACACATTTCCTGTATCTAAAGAATGTGTGTATGAGACAGACTCCTTGTTGCATGTATGCCCGACACATCATTATTTCAGAATAGGAAACATGTCTTACATAATGACTCAGAGATACAGGCGGTAATACAATCACACAGTCAGCCTTGTCTGTCAGCAGACTGTGTTCTCACTGTTTAACCACTGCCATTCTTAGGATGACCTATTAATTCATTCCTCACAGTAGCCTGTATTATCAAGCCAGCTATGGTATGCAATGCATCAATGTGGAGAATGCAGAAAGGTGCAAGCACAGAATAGTTTGTACTGCAAATCTTGCAACAATTAAAGTAAGTAAGTAGACCCTTCTCGGTCTTCCAATCAGAACAACTGACCACTAACCACCTAAATGACTGTGTTTATGAGTCACACTGGTGGCAGGTAGCTTAACGGTTAGAGCGTTGGGCCAGTAACCGAAAGGTTTGAATCCCTGAGCCGACAAGGTAAAAAATCTGTCAATGTGCCCTTGAGCAAGGCACTTAACCCTTTTCTCCTGGGTCACCGTTGATAATGGCTGACCCTGGCCGTGACCCCACTCTCTGAGGGTGTCTCAGGGGGAATAGGGATATGCAAAAAACACATTTCCAATTCACACGTGTATAATACACACTTGTGCATGTGTGAAATAGGACAAATATAAGCACCCACCAAATACTTATTATTATTATTATTGATACTCTGTCCTGCTACTGTGTCAGTAACTTGTTTGTGACCTTTTTGTTAATGCTTTCTGGGAAACTCACCCCTGGTTTAATTATTGTATGCATTCAGGAGAGTCCCAAGCCACTGCTGCATTTCTAGGAGTGGACTATTTGTTTATCATCAGTTGCCGTCTCTATGTAGTAGGCTAGTCTCTGTGGAGCGGCCATATGCAGCGTGTATGTGTGTGTGTGTGTGTGTGTGTGTGTGTGTCTTTCTCTCTTGCCTGACACTTTAAGGGCAGGGAGCACCTGTTAGGGAGGGCTGATACCATGACATCATCAGAAGTGCCAGGGAGTCTGAGTATAGTCAGCTGTTCTGAGTCTGACCTTCAATCTCACAGCATCTCAGGGATTACGCCGTCCCTTCTGTAAGCAACGATATTCATTTCTCTCTCAGCTCTCGCTGACACACACACAAAACACACTGGAGACTCACGTGTATGTAACATAAACATAAACACACTGTTACACACATACACTAGACTCACGTGACTACGCAGGCAGACAAGCACACACACAATAACACAAACGTGGAACGTGCCAGCCCAGGGCATGCCACATGATAGATGCCACACCACTTGGCAACCACAGGAAGTAGAGAAGAGAAGGATCTATTCTGGGAGAGAGAATCACTATCACTCCCTCACATCTCTCCCCCTTTACCCTCTCTCCTAACCTTGCTTCTTTCTTTCACAGGCTCCCTGAGGCAGGTCATTCTGAATTCGTTTCTCTCTTCCTCTTTCTCTGGGGAACTTCACATTTAGTATCTCACTATACCCTTACCTCTTTCTCACTCTCTCGTCATTGCCTTGCCACCCACTCCAAGCCTCCCCCTGCACTATTTCTATCCACAGAACGAGAGAGCAGAAACACTATCTGACTGATACCTAACACATCTGATACTCACTGGCAGTATTAGTGTTAATAAGATGACACTGTAAAACAACCCATTAAGTCCACTTCCATCTTGATTCAAATAAAAAATAAAATAAACATTTTCTGCTGTTTAATGTTTCAACCAGTTCATTCTAAGCCAATCAAATGTTTTATTATTAAAGTTATTGACCGTTGTGTAAGTTCCCACTAGTGGCCAATTTCAAAGCAGCAAAAAAACATTGGGGTTGAGGCGACCCTCAGATAAACACATTTTCAATATTGTTTGTGCCTTCTCAGATAAGTGATCATACTTTATGTGAAATTAAGAGACTAATGTGCTGATATATGCACATTATAGCATATTTCATGAGCATTAATTACTATTTCTTGCCATTTTAAAAGATGGATTTTTCATGCTAGCGGTCATGCCTGCATGTCACAATCAAACAGTAGCAACATAACTTGGTGAACTACAAGAAGATAATAGATTTCAGGCATTCATATCTGAATTTTTTTTTTATGCATTATTTCTTATTTTACTGTTAAATGAACCTTGCATTTTTATAGATAAATGTCAAATTTACAAAAATGGCATCTATCTCAGGTGGGCTTATATGGCGTAGTAACACAAAAAGGACTCTACAGAATGTAAATGGCAATAAATAAATATTGGTCAATATGATCAATACTAACTTCGCATTATAATGGAGTCTATAGTGAATATTTCTACCCCAAAACCATTGGTTTCCAAATATTTTATGAGTATTTTTCACCATAAATCACTGTTGTTCCAATTCAGCCCAGTATGCATTGAAACACATACAATAGTGTTGATATCCCTAATAGTCAATGAACATGAGCATAAATGTTGTTTTTTTTGTTCAGATTTAAGTTGGTTAAAACACACAAACTACAGGTATGCATATTATGCATCTAGCCATGATGCCTTTACCAGGATTAGAAACCTCTGTACTCTCCAAGACGTTTGGAGTGGACAGGTAGTCGTTGATGCAGAGAGAGTAGAATAAGATCAGGCTTGAGGGATATCAGGGACAGAAGAACTTTAAGTGATGGACAGAAATGCAAAAAACAATGAGGGACAAGAAGATGACTTGGGCGACTACTCATGCACTTTTGGGTGAGGGCATTGTCATACGGTTGTCTTTCATTCATCCAGGTGATTTCGTTTTTTGGTCCATCACCTGTACCTTTGTAATACAACAATAGAGAGGGATATTTGAAACTGTCTTCAGATAGGCTTTAGGAAGACAAGTTGAACTAATTAACAAGAATAGCAGTACATCAAATGTGAATCAGCTTTCAGATAATTTGTTCAAAGTTGTGTTATGGTCTTTGTGCAAGGCTTCTTATCAACAGAGGGCCAGAGTGGGTGCAGTTTTTTTTGTTCTAACCAAGCAACAACACACCTGATTCAACTAATCATGTCTTGATTTAAGTCTATTATTAGTTGAATCAGGTGTGTACTGGTTGGCAAGAACAAAAGCCTAAGTCCACATTGATCTCTGTGGATAGGATTGTTATGAGTGCTACTTTCATGATGAATTTTAATGATCAGATTATATTCATAACTTTAGGGGACATTAATATAATATAATTTACATAAGAAATGTTAGTTTGTAAATTTTGAACATTTGGAAATTCATTCAAATTGATTATTTAAAAGGTGGGCTTATTTGGAACACCCATGGGCTTAAAGGGTACATTTGATACCCATCAAGCCCAGTCCCGACATATTTTATCAAATATTGTTATGTCTTATTAAAAAATGTTGTAAGTAAAGTCATAAAACTTCACAAGATTAAACTTTCATTTTATCTCCAATTTTCTTATAAGAATTAGGTCAGTATATGTTAGAAATGTCTAAACCTAGATTTTGGTGGGCTTAATAGGTACACTTACCCCTACATCTATATTTGATTAATTTTTATAGCCTGAACTATGTGACAAACTGGCAAAGACATAAGAGTTCCCTTCAGTCCAGACCTACATTCATCCAAATGCTAGCCCACATCTTTCCATGTCTTCATTCCTTCATGACCACTGAAAGCAAGGGACACAGTTCCAACTTCCACCATATAACCTTCACCAACGAGATGAGATCCCTCTATAGGAAGTAGGGATATTTATTAGAATATTAGGACAAAGCCAAACTCTGGCCCCAGGCCTCCAGAGTTAGAGTTAGAGAGACAGAGACAGAGACAGAGACAGAGAGAGAGAGAGAGAGAGAGAGAGAGAGAGAGAGAGAGAGAGAGAGAGAGAGAGAGAGAGAGAGAGAGAGAGAGAGAGAGAGAAGAGAGAGACAGAGAGAGAGAGAGAGAGGAGATGAGAGAGAGAGAGAGACAGAGAGAGAGAGACAGAGAGAGACAGAGACAGAGAGAGAGAGAGAGAGAGAGAGAGAGAGAGACAGAGAGAGAGACAGAGAGAGACAGAGAGACAGAGAGAGCGAGAGAGAGACAGAGCGAGAGAGAGAGAGAGAGAGAGAGAGGAGGGCTAATCCCAGTGTGCTCATGTGTCATTGGGTCTAATAAATATGTCTGCCACTGTCCCCAAAGGGCCCCAGACCTGGCACAGCACCGCCCACACCTGCTGAGCACACACAAGGCACACACACATCAACCTAGAAGTCTCCCTTATAAACTCGCAGGCGCACACACAGCAGCCGAAAAGTTGGCATGGCCTTTGGAACACTTCTATTTGCAAAGCGCGCGGTAATGATCCAGTGACCTCACCATTTGGATGTTAGATTGACCATTACACAATACAACCAGGGAGTTACATACAAACAGACATGAGGAATGACCAAAATGAATGTCTTATTATGGTTCATGGCATGCATCAATAAGCAAGGAGCAAGAAGAGGACGCATCAAAAGCTTGAAAGAAATCTGGTCGCCATACAGAATCAAACCCAAAGCTTGCGCTAGACCATAAACTAGTGAATTATAAAATCTAGGGCTAGGCTACATCTAAAACACAAATCAGATCAGATTTCCCCTCTCCACTGGGTGTCTTCTAACCCCACCCACCTTCTTTTAGGCTGTGATAGGCATGTCTCTCGTAATCCATCAAGTCCTGCTTGTCCAGCTCTTCCCCCATTGGAGGAGAGTCCAAGGGGGCGAGCTCAAAGGACAGGAAGTGGTTGGTGTCCAGCATGATCATTTAGACAAAACAAATAAAAAAGTCATAAAGAGTTGTCGTCGTTCAAGTCTTGAATGGATCCTGATATAGCGGTGGCCAAAGATATGGAGCGAGAGGCAGGTGATGGGTCTCTAAAAAGAGGTCTCGTCTGCAATAGACCACATCCAAGATCTAATTGGTTTTCCTCTCACTAAGGTCGAGGCAGGGAAAAGACGTTAGTCTTATTCATTGCTTGTCCGGATGACTTTTGACTGTGCTTGTCAAAGGTTAAGAAAAAGTAGCTTGAATATTCTATCAAAAAAGGGGATGTGATTTGATTCAAGAAAACTTGCCGTCTTCTGTCTTCATGGGTCAGAACATCGATTTTCTTCTTTCTCTCTGCCCTTCCCTTGTTTTCTCTTGTCGTGACAGTCAGCTAGGAACGATGGAGCTGCTCTACTAAGGTGTCCAATGAGACGGTGGAAATCCACAGGGTAAAGCCAAAAGATGAAAAAGAGAGAGAACAAGGGAGGAGAGAAAAAGAGGGCAGCAGCAGAGGGGAGAGACCAGAGAGACAGAGAGCCCAGAGAGACTGAGAGACAGACAGAGAGCCCAGAGAGAGTGAGAGAGACAGAGAGCCTGAGAGAGAGAGAGAGAGAGAGAGAGAGAGAGAGAGAGAGAGAGAGAGTGAGAGAGACAGAGAGCCCAGAGAGACAGACAGAGAGCCCAGAGAGAGTGAGAGAGACAGAGAGCCTGAGAGAGAGAGAGAGAGAGAGAGACTGCTCTGGTTGCAGCTCCTCACTCATGACAGTAAGGAACACACACACACGGTGGTGTCAGTGATAGAGTTATCCTGCTCAGCTGTTGCCATTCATTCATGTCTCTGCCCACATACCTTCCCCCTCCCCTCCACAGCTCAACCTACAGAACCAGCCTCCCCCCAGAGAAAACTGATTTGTTGATAAACAACAAAAAACACTAAACTCCACACATGTTATCCTGATGACATTCTTGAGACATTTAAAGCAACACTTGGTAATTGTGTTAATGGTTTTGAGAAGTCATCATTAATAGTTAAATGCAGGAGAATTTATCAATCAGTGACGACAATAACCTAGAAGTACAACCGGTTTTATATTTCTCTCAGTACTGTACTTTTTATTCTTTGATGGAACATATTGATACATTGAGTATCTATGGCTCTTCAGGAGATGTGCAACCTTTCTCTAGTAGAGGAAACAACTGCAATGGAATACCTCATGCAACTCCTCTACTGAGCTGCGGCAGGCAACTCCTACATCACATGCTAGAATACAGTGACAGAGATGATCGCAGAATCTACCATTCAACCATGACAATGCAGGTTACAGTCAAAGCTATTGCATTTGGGCGACACGTCCTGTCGACAACCTGAATGCATGCAAAGCCTTTCTGTCCTGTCTGTGGCTGCTCCAGAATGCTGCTGAGGTCCCCCCAACAAACCCCAACCCACCCCCCCCTTCTCCCCCGCTCTCTGTGTTTTAAATAGTAGGGACAGCTGGCCATAGGGGGCTATATTCAGCTCAGTATCACCTGTGCGGCTGCTGGGTAGGGTTACTTACAGATACCCACACACTAACATCGTGACACACACATTGGCACAACCGGCGTACACGCTCATGCACACACACAACTTCAACTTTCACCGCTGGTGCATTTTTCCAGCGTGTACCCATAGGTTCGCCCCTCGCTGACTAACAGTTATCATTGAAATACATGGACAGAATTTGATTCATTTTTGGCCTGCTGACGTCTTTGTGTGTAGGTAGTTGCACTCTTATGATCAGGCCATGGTGGACAGACTGTCCATAGAGAACAGAGCACCACCTTGACCAAACACTTCACAGGCAGCAGTGTGAAAAACAGGACCAAAGTCCACCTAGCTTTAGCGTACAACTTCCCAGTCTGGGAGAGATAGGACTGTCAGACCACTCCAAAGACACTGAGTAATACATGATCTGTCCTGACTGTCGTTATCATTATCACTGTACTGTGATGATCACAGCTATCTCCTCAGAGGAGAAAGGTAGTATTGTAGAAAAGGTTTCTGGTTTTAGGAGCAGCCCAACCTAATGTGTGGGTGGTTACAGCAGGGCTGTTTCCCATGGTTTTATTGTACCTGGGTTTGAGGGTTAGGGTTAGATTTTTAGGGTTAGATTGTCTGAGGCGTTCACAGTCATTCTGTCATCAACTATCAATCAGCTCATTAGACGACAACTCAGGCAGTCTCGCAAGTCGTAGTTTGAAGCCTCACACCAGGGCTGATTGAAGAGACTCCCTAAGGCCTAGTGTTTCCCACCTTCCCCTACCATTGTATTTAGGCCCCTGCTAAGCCAATCTTTATTTTTTTTATTTTTTCATCTTATCCAGAGGGCAATCAGCTAAGGAAGGCTAAAAAAAAAACTCTTCCACGTTGTTACAGCAGGATACAGTATTCTTATGGAGTTGTGACTAATTCAATGCTCAGAGACATCCAGGGTAAGGCGGTAGGGCACTGACTCCCCCACACAAAGGTCATCTTGCTGGGTCGCCCTGCCCCAGTCCTGGGGAGAAGGCTGTAACGCCTGGAGACACACAGCCAGACCGATAACCTCCCACAACCCAGCCTCCTTTCCCTCCTTACACTTGTGTGTGTGTGTGTGTGTGTGTGTGTGTGTGTGTGTGTGTGTGTGTGTGTGTGTGTGTGTGTGTGTGTTTGTGTGTGTGTGTGTGTGTGTGTGTGTGTGTGTGTGTCTGTGTGTGTGTGTCTGTGTGTGTGTGTGTGTGTGTGTGTGTGTGTGTGTGTGTGTGTGTGTGTGTGCGCGCGCGCTTGCCAGCTCTAGTATGGGTAGGACTGCTAAAAACATTTCAAGTGATACGGGCTGTAGGGCAAGTTTGCTCAAAACAAACTATAGGCCTAGTACCTCTCTGTTCACTCTGTCAGTCAGTCTCTTTATCCTTTGCTAAACGGACTGGATCTCAATAACACCACCCTGTGGCTGCAGTACTGGAGACGATATCTACCAGGTGTATAGTAAAAATCCAGTCACATAATGTGAGCAGTGTTGGGACAAATAAACACCAACATCTTAAATAGGGTAGTAGACTAACCACAGAATGGCCAAAGCACAGAGGCACGCCCAGTCCCATTGATCTCAGTCTTAACAGAGGGGGAATGTATGTGGTTAGGCAGGCCTGACAGACTCCAACAAAGACCCTGGCTGTGGGTTCATTCCCTGTTAGGTGGGGTAAGGTGGTATTATATCTGAGGAAGTCTGTTCACCGGAGTAGTAACAGAACAGTGTGTTGTTTCACAAGGTAGGCAAAGTATGTAAATAGAAGGGTTTGATTGTGTGATAGTAAGCAGACATTAACAGTGTCACCACTGTTTACTCCACAACACGCCTCACTATTCAGCAAACAGAGTGGGTAAGAGGAAAGAACACAGACACTCAGGCAGCGGGGTAGACAGACACACTGACACTCAGGCAGCGGGGTAGACAGACACACAGACACTCAGGCAGCGGGGTAGACAGACACACAGACAAACACTGTGGGGTAGACAGACACACAGACAAACACTGTGGGGTAGACAGACACACAGACAAACACTGTGGGGTAGACAGACACACAGACAAACACTGTGGGGTAGACAGACACACAGACAAACACTGTGGGGTAGACAGACACACAGACAAACACTGTGGGGTAGACAGACACACAGACAAACACTGTGGGGTAGACAGACACACAGACACTCAGGCAGCGGGGTAGACAGACACACTGACACTCAGGCAGCGGGGTAGACAGACACACAGACACTCAGGCAGCGGGGTAGACAGACACACAGACAAACACTGTGGGGTAGACAGACACACAGACAAACACTGTGGGGTAGACAGACACACAGACAAACACTGTGGGGTAGACAGACACACAGACAAACACTGTGGGGTAGACAGACACACAGACAAACACTGTGGGGTAGACAGACACACAGACAAACACTGTGGGGTAGACAGACACACAGACAAACACTGTGGGGTAGACAGACACACAGACAAACACTGTGGGGTAGACAGACACACAGACAAACACTGTGGGGTAGACAGACACACAGACAAACACTGTGGGGTAGACAGACACGCAGACAAACACTGTGGGGTAGACAGACACGCAGACAAACACTGTGGGGTAGACAGACACACAGACAAACACTGTGGGGTAGACAGACACACAGACAAACACTGTGGGGTAGACACACTGTGGGGTAGACAGACACAGACAAACACTGTGGGGTAGACAGACACAGACAAACACTGTGGGGTAGACAAAGACAAAGAGTCAACAGAAAAAAAGAGCGAGAGGGGGAAGGAGGGAGCGGGAAGGAAAGAGCTATAGGAGGTAGGGTTTCCAAATTCAGGGCTGCAGTTAGCATTTGTTAATATGGTGCAGCAGAGCACGAGGGAGGGAGGGAGGTGAGGCTGAGTTCAGCGAATTAGGTTTTGGGCAGCAAGAGAGAAAGAAAGGGAGAGGAGAGGGAGTGAGGGGGTTCCTCTTCCAGCCAATCCATTTTTGGACGGACATCTGAGATCACTTTATTCTGCACCCCAAAACCCACTAGCTTACTTCACAGAAAACAGATTCCATATCCTTCCTCTTACGGTAACAGTCAACCCCCTAAAGCACCAGCAGGCATGCAGTCTGGAACGTGGAACAACGTGGAACTCGTTACATGTGGCGAAGAAGAGACAAGAACAGTTTCATTCATTCAGAAAGAAAAGGAGGATTCATGTGAAAAGAAAACCGCAGAGAACAGCAAAGTCAGAATCATTTTGTGATGGTTACTTCTCAAATTTGGATCAAATTACTCAACCGCAAGAGCTTTTTATGTCTCTTTTAAGTAATGTGTTTCTCTGTCAGTGTTTTCCTCAAAATATACCCATGACCTCTGTGGTTAGACGGATTGATTGTTCCTCCCCTTGTAGCAGAGACCCCTCTGTGTTGGTCCAGCAACAATGGGAAGACTTTACACACTGACAGAGAAACACATTACTCATAATAATGTCTGAAACGGAGCAAATGGAATGGCATCAAACACCTGGAAACCATGGAAACCATGTATTTGATACCATTCCAACGATTCCGCTCCAGCCATTACCACAAGCCTGTTCTCCCCAATTAAGGTGCCACCAACTTCCTGTGTGTGATATAAAGTATACTGATATACTGTATGTTTCCTAATGTACTTATTGTAGACCAGTGTGCTGAAACTTTATAAATCTACCCGCCTTGACAG